TCGTCGCAATCCCATGGATCATCATTATCATCATCATCATCCCAACCTGTAGGAATAATAGGTTCATTACTTGTAGGAGGTGGAGTGTACTTGACATAATAGTCAAATTTTCCAGAGGGTTCTCCTAACAAATCAACTCTTGCAGATTTATTTTCATATGCTTCACGCAACTTTTGTTGGCTATTCTTCTTTTTCTTCTTCTTCTTGGAAGGACGATCGTTAAATAGATCTTCTTCATCTTCTATACATTTTGCACAGAAACATACATCCCAATAAATATGTCCCGAGTTATCAGATTTGCAATAAATTGGCCTGCCATTTGCATCAAATCCATAAATCGGAATTTCTCCATTGGAAAAAGCAGACTGTGTTGGAAAACAGGGAGGCTTTTTATTTGCAGGTTCTTTTTGAAACATGATCTCAACTTCGCCATTTGACTTTCTCCTGAAATGATGAGTTGCTAATTGTATAGGCAGAGAGTCTTTTGACGCCTGGTGATGTTGCTCATAACTAGTAACCCAGGTTTGAGGGACCAATTTAATGAGTTCAAATCTAGGAATCTGTCTAGGGACATATGTACAGCTTGGCTGATTTGTTCCCATCTGAATTAATAAAGTACCATCCGTCCCATTAGGAGTGGCAAAATCAAGAGAGTGATTTTGAATTCTGTAAGCCATCTAGTAATGAAGTGTTGCTCCATATGTGACTGCTGTTGGAACTGCTCCAACAATTTGGACCTGGATTTTTAAAGCTGATAACAATAATGGATCTGCAATTGGCATATTAAAATTTGGAAACATAGTAACAAGTATTGTTCCCGCATTGAGTGTAGTTTCCACAGTGCCAATACATGCATGTTGATAATCAGCAAATCGTGTATCTAGAAGAGCAATTCTAGAAATAGCCGGGAGACCTTTTCTTCCATGGAGGGTAAGTGCAATTCTTACAGCTCCAAAATGAAGATGGGTAAAACCTTCAGATAACCATACTTTTGAAAGATGAGATGGTAAATCTAAGGTAACAAACTGCTCCTTTTCAGTAGCAGGTAGAAGATGTTGATCAAACTTTGATGCCTGAACATATTCTTTGGTTTGGGAATTTGATGGTGAAATGATACTTTTAACAGTTTTGGTGAAGGAATTTCG